GATGGTTCATAGGATTGCAAAGCGGGAGATGTACTTTTCCAAGGGCATCACGGACCAAACAGAAAAATTCATTTTTACACATAAAAATAAAATAAAATCTATTGAGTTTACTAGCATATTGCTAGTTATCGATACCGCCGCTAAAACAAATAACCCTTTCTCTTTTGGTACCGGACTGAAGCAGTGTAAGCACCGCCCGCTTGCTTCTAGTCCCCCAGGGGAGCATTTAAGCAGTCTACGGCTTTATGGTACTTAGGCACCTGCATTACATTGATGCAGAACTGCACCATTAGGCAGGGCTGAACAAGGACCTCTCCGGACACCTGCAGGTATGCCACTATACGTAGTCATATTTACACATAAAAAATAACTAATTTTTTTCTGTAGAGTTTTCAGGCCATATTCATAATAACTCTCAGAGTAGGACTAAACTGCACGAATTCATACGTACTTGGCAGTTGCACTGTTCTTCCTGCCAAGAATGCTAGAATTCTCGTAATCATACCGATTTGTCTCTGCAGTAATATTTTTAGAAATTAATCTTCTAAGCAAAATGACTTTTCAGTCTTTCTAGGCATAAAGCGGAATACATTCATAGTAGTCTTTATTGACTTTGCCGACTTTCCTGCCACGCTACACTGTTGGCCATTCTCTGAGCAATTAATAATGACTCTTCATCATTTTGCCCGTATGGCCTATTTTTTATGAGAAAGGTGGTCTGAGAGAACGTTGAATGTGTTCTACCGAACTTCAGTGAACGCTTGATATAGAGACTGTGCCAATGCGAAGGCTATTATTAAATTTCTGTGCTGCTATCTGAAACTCTTCGTTCATCGGTACGTCATTACTGTTCCCAACGCTGAGGGGTAAACTTATGAATGAAATTGTGTCAAGCCAATAGGATTATGTTAAATCTGTTACGTGTACGAGGAATACGGTAGGCAAATACAATGAGATTAATAGGTGATGTGCATTGCGGCTATGGTGACCTACTACAAGGGCGTTACTTCGTTGCTGTGCTATCGCTATAGTTTGTACCTCGGCTAGGTGTGTGTTCAGCGTTTCGTTCCCATTGTGTTGTTTGTTTTATTATGATGACGTAGCAGCACGAGGTTTTGTGCAACTGGTCAGGATTTCCGTCATGATTGCAATATCGTATTTATGTTATTAGTGTGCAAAACGATGAAACGTGTTCACCGTTTTCAAAACTTTATGCTTGCCAAATGTTAAACAGTTTCAAAACACGATGATGTCAAACACGTGCCCCTGTTTTAAGTTTCGTGATTTCGTGATGTGTCGCTCGCCGATGCAAAACTTTTGTCCTCATTACCGCGGAGGTCCAACTCGGCGCGCTGTTCTCACCATTGTTTTAGCCTCAATCATATCATCAGAAAGGGCTAACGCCGTATTTGTCGTAGTTTCGACAGTGTCGACGGCTCAGATCTCTCTATGCTAAGTTTAAGATGATTTGCTCATTGTTATTATTTGAACAATTTGTTTAGGGTTTAGTTCGGCTGAAGTTCGCAAACTGAGCGATTTGATTTTCGATCTGCAGACTGTCGAGTAAGTAAACAACTCATTTGCATAATATCATCTACAACTGTTATACTCTTATTTATTTGGAATCGTGCCTATATTGTTGCTTTCGTTCTATACGTCATTTCCATGTAAAACGTTTATTCCTCTATGCAACTCTGTAGTTTCTTCAAGTTTTTGGCGTATGTCTCTGCATAAACCACGGTTGAGGGGAAGTTGGGGCAGCCCTTCAAAAATATTGGTTGGCATTCATTTACCACCTTCTGTATAGCTATTCAAGGCCGGCACCTGGTCACAGCAACTTGCAACGAATCTGAAGGCAGCTTCTTTCTTGTGGACGACGGAATTCATTTTTAACAGCTACAGCTGTTCCTTTAGTTTATAGCAAACGCTAGACACAGAACTTGACTCATTGCTTTAAACAACAGATCTTAAAGGACACTGTTTTCCTCTCATTCGCTAGTCACTTTCTAATTTTCAGAACCATGACGTTGTTGTACATTTTTCAAGAGGTCGTCTTCGAACTCCGTCCCAACCAAGACAATTCTTGTCTGAACGTCGAGTTCCCTTGAGAAGGAAATTTACCAAACGTGGCTTCAAACCGGGCTTGCTGCGACGGAGAACATCAGACTCAAGACCGATGAGACCCGAGTTCGAGCCATGGTCATGGTTAATCGCCTTTCATCTTTCCGAAGTTGATGACTGAGTACCACTAGACGGAAAGGAAACTGTAGATTAGGCGCAGCGCTTGTTTTATAGCTATGAACTACGCCTTTAAAAATTATTCACCCCTGGCTGATGGCATAGATATGGAGATGGGCCCCGCACCATCAACTTCATGAAAAGAAGGAAGCTAGTTGATCCGTTGGGAAAGTGTACAAAAGACCAACATTCCAACGGTATAGAAGTTTCGTCATTTCAGAAACAGGTTTGTGAGACACTTAAGAAATGTCCCGCCACTTTCTTTTGACCCTTTGTTGTTTTTGAGGGTTCGTTCAGCATTAACTCAGTTGCTTAATGAGCAGAGGCTGTTGAAAATATCTTGCGCTGGCTCAAGATGACATACAGTTGTTAATAAAGACCATTCGACTAATGCTTTAATTCGTGTTACCTCAGAGTTAGCTACCAGATGAGCAGCTATGTCATTCGGGGTTATCTAAGGCGGTTCATAGACCTCTGGGGCCACGTATGACATGCCTAATTGACGACAGAGATTCAGAGATTTGTGGGCTTGATTTGTGAAACCGTGAGATGCTTCAGGTTTACACCATTGGCATCTTCTTGTTGTGTTCAATGACCACTGCAGTAGCTTCACAGTGTCTAATGGTGCTGTTGCCATGTGGCGAAATGCGTTCTGAAATCTTTCAAGGTGTTAGC